GTGAGTTCATTCCAGAGCATAGTGATTGTCTAGTGTCACCCACATGGTTATTACTGGGGCTTTACTGCACTAGATGAGGTATACCACATGTTGTTTATTCCCATCCCCACCCAACTAGCTCACATTCCTCCCCCCATTTTCCTCGCTGGCTCTGTCTCCCTGCGCAACTAGTCCTACGCTCCCCCCAGCTCCCAGTTAGTTAAGTAGTGACTGAAGTTGTTGTCCCTGTCTCATATGTTGGAGAAGTGAGAAGGTGTGTAGTGAGTGAGGCAGGTAACTGCAATAAAGGACAGGGCAGTCTCAAAGGGCAAACTGTCCCACAGCACCTCTAACTGGCGGCTGCTACTCACTCTCCTGCTGCCTTGGAAAGAGCAGTCAGTCAGAAGGGGGTTATCTCCACTGTGTATGTGGTTTTCCTATGTCAGGAGACCCAATACACTTAGCAGGTTTAGAAGTGTGCTGAAGTGGTTATAGACTCTTCTGCCTCTGTCCCTAGCATGTCCCTGTCCGTCCTTGCCCTCCTCAGCCCTCTGCATTCAAATCATGCAGTTTCCTTTTCCTCCTCCATGCTGCCTGGACACTAGTACAGAAGGTAGAAAGCACTGAGAGTACTGGAGAAAGTCTCCCTACTCTGTTCTTGTGCCTGGCACCACAGTGTCTCCTGGCAGACAGGAGGAGTAATTACTACAAGGTCATGCTCAGCCTGGCAGCCCGAGCTTGGAGCATGCTCACTGAGATTTGTGGGGATGGCACATACTCAGTGTGGCTGGCATAGAGCTCTGTGGAGGTGCAGCACACTCAATGCAGACAATGCAAAAATTTGGTCTAAATTAATATACTATAAGAGAATCATAGAATATAAGGGTTGGAAGAGACCTCTGGAGGTCATCTAGTCCAATCCCCTGCTCAAAGCAGGACCAATCCCCAACTAAATCATCCCAGCCAAGGCTTTGTCAAGCCGGGCCTTAAAAACCTCTTAAGAATGGAGATTCCACCACCTCCCTCAGTAACCCATTCCAGTGCTTCACCATGCTCCTAGTGAAATAGTGTATACTAATATCCAACATGACACCAATGTTTCTTGTTCTGTCATCTACCACCACTGAGAACAGCCTAGCTCCATCCTCTTTGGAACTCCCCTTCAGGTAGTTGAAGGCTGCTATCAAATCCCCCCTCACTCTTTTCTCTTCTGCAGACTAAATAAGCCCAGTTCCCTCAGCCTCTCCTCGTAAGTCATGTGCCCCAGCCCCCTAATAATTTTCGTTGCCCTCCACTGGACTCTCTTCAATTTGTTCCTTCTGTAGTGTGGGGACCAAAATCGGATGCAATACTCCAGGTGTAGTCTCACCAGTGCCAAATAAAGGGGAATAATCACTTCCCTCGATCTGCTGACAATGCTCCTACTAATACAGACCAATATGCTGTTGGCCTTCTTAGCATCAAGGGCACACTGCTGACTCATATCCAGCTTCTCATCCACTGTAATCCCCAGGTCCTTTTCTGCAGAACTGCTGCTTAGCCAGTCGGTCCCCAGCCTGTAGCGGTGCATGGGATTCTTCCTTCTGAAGTGCAGGACTCTGCACTTGTCCTTGTTGAACCTCATCAGATTTTTTTTGGCCCAATCCTCCAATTTGACTAGGTCACTCTGTATCCTATCCCTACCCTCCAGTGTATCTACCTCTCCCCCCCAGTTAAGTGTCACCTGTGAACTTGCTGAGGGTGAAATTAATCCCATCATCCAGATCATTAATAAAGACGTTGAACAAAAATGACCCCTGGAGCACTCAGATTGATACCGGCTGCCAACTAGTCATTGAGCTGTTGATCACTACCTGTTGAGCCTGACAATCTAGCCAGCCAGGTGTATAGTTGGTTGAAAAAATGTACTTACAGTAGCTATCAATGGTTTGCTATCAAACCAGGAGGACATATCTAGCGGAGTCCCTCAGGAGTGTGCCTTGCCTCTAGAATTAGTCAATATTTTAATTAATGGCTTGAATATTGGAGTTAAGAATATGCTTATAATATTTGCGGATGACACTAAGCTGCCAGAGTCAGGGTGGGTGGGTCTGCAGGCATTTTGGAAGACAGGATTAGAACTCAAAATGATCTTGTGAAATTGGAGAATTGCTCTGAATTCAACAAAATGAAATTCATTGAAGATAAGTGCAGAGTACTACACTTCGGAAGAAAAAAAGCAAATGCACAACTACAACATGGAGAATAACTGGCTAGGCCATAGTACAGCAGAAAAGGATCTGGGGTTTTTATATCATAAATTGAACATGCACCAGCAATGTGGTGCAGTGGCAAAAAATAAATTTAAAAAATGCTAGTATTCTAGGGTTTATTACCAGCAGTGTCATATGTAAGACATGGGAATAATTGTTCTGCTCTACTTAGCCCTGGTGAGCCTCAACTGGAGTATTGTGTCCATTTTTAAGCATCACACCTTGAGAAAGATATAGACAAATTGGAAAAGGTCTAGAAAAGGAGATAAAAAAATAATAATAAAAGGTTTAGAAAACCTAACCTATGAGGAAAGGTTACAAAACCTGGCTATGTTTAGACTTGAGAAAAGAAGACTGAAGGGGAACCTACTGAGGACTGTTAGAAAGAGGTTGATTAATTGTTCTCCATATCCACTGAAAATAGGACAAGAAGTAGTCAGCTTAATTTGTAGCAGGGAAGATTTAGGTTAGGTATTAGGAAAAATGTTCTAGCTATAAGGATAGTTAATCATAGAATATCAGGGTTGGAAGGGACCTCAGGAGGTCATCTAGTCCAATCCCCTGCTCAAAGCAGGACCAATTCCCAACTAAATCATCCCAGCCAGGGCTTTGTCAAGTCGGGCCTTAAAAACCTCCAAGGAAGGAGATTCCTCCACCTCCCTTGGTAACGCATTCCAGTGCTTCACCCCCCTCCTAGTGAAATAGTGTTTCCTAATATCCAACCCTGACCTCCCCCACTGCAACGTGAGACCATTGCTCCTTGTTCTGTCATCTGCCACCACTGAGAACAGCTGAGCTCCATCCTCTTTGGAACCCCCCTTCAGGTAGTTGAAAGCAGCTATCAAATCCCCCCCCCCCCCATTCTTCTCTTCTGGAGACTAAACAATCCCATTGAATTGGACTAAGCTTTCAAGGGATGTTGTGGAATCCCCGTCATTGTCCAACCTGTTCTGAAAAACCTCCAAACACCCACCAGTTATGGTCTAGGTATACTTCGTTCTGCCTCAGCATACGACCTTTCAAGGTCTCTTCCAGCCCTACATTTCTGTGATTGTGATCTTCAGAGAATTTTGCTCTAACAAATCTCTCTTGAGCACTTGCAAATGATGATTTTTCAGAGACTTATAACGTACCAAATTTGGGCAACTTTTCACAAGGACAACAAAAGTTGTATATTCCTGATCCCTAAGCAATACCCCTACCTGCTCCAAAGCATGTACTCACTACACTTTCTCAATGAAACAGCTGTGTGCATTTTAACACTTGCAAAACAACTTTTTTCCCTTAACCTTATTCTTTAAGCAAGGGTTCTTTCAACTCTCAGGGGTTCTCTCTTTTTGGTGGCCTCAGAATGCAGCCACCGACTCTTGCTGGTGGCCACTTTGACAATTTTTCTTAAAATACTTAATTAACTTTAGGAAAAACAAATAAATATGCACAGATACATGTCCAAATCATAATAATGTATTTATATAGGGTTTTCTTTTTTAGACTCAATAATAATAATAATGTACAGTTGTCTCTTCTTTACTGGACCTAAACAGAATAGAAATGCAAATAAGGTGCTTTGCAAGTTCTTGTCTTCTTGTTGTTTGTTTTGCTTTTTTGGTTGTGGGCTTTTTTGGCCTTGCTAGCTAGTAAGTCAGATTCTGTGAAAAGTGATATTCGTATGTTTGTTAATATCACTTTTCACAGCAGCAGACTTGTTAGCTAGCTGGGAGGGAGTGAAAAGTGATATTAACAAACATAGAAATATCACTTTTCACAGCAGACTTACTCAGCCCTGGCAAGCCAGGGCACAAATTAAGCCTTGGATGGGAAGGTAGATAGGGAGGCAGGGGAGGCCAGGGGTGATAGGGTAGGTAGGTGAGGGGCTGGGGGCAGCAGTGGGGACCAGGGGCTGATAAAGGGGAGGAGGGGTGAGCCAAAGCCCAGCAGCCGGGGGTTGAAGCTCGCTGCGATGCGGCCAAAGAACTAGCGCCCAGTGCTCCACAGTCAGAGCCGCAGCCGCAGCCGCAGCCAAAGCCTGCCGCTTCAGGAAGCTGGAAGCCTGAGTGAGCCCCAATGCCCCGAGGAAGGTGGAGGACTCACATCGGCTGTCTGCTCCTCCAGCATTTGTGGCTCAAGAGGGGCACAGGGTCCAACCCCTCCGTGCGGCCCCAGGGGAGGGGCCTCTGCTTTTTCTCTCCTCCCCCTCCCCTCCCCCAAAAAAATCATCACCCAGGAGGCTATCGCCGCAAGAAAGCATTTGGACACAATGGCGCATTTGAGAAATGTTGCTAGAGCAGCTGGACCATTTTAGCTGAAACTTAAAAAATCAGCTTGAAGCAGACAAATCTCCGCTCAAACAATCTGGCAAAGTTATAAGCAATTGGAAATAGTCTTATAATAGAAAGTTAGACAACTTTAACTATAAGCGGAGCTGTTAGTTCTCAGTACCAGAAATGTTGTAATTCTATTTCATGCTGTTTCAAATATTTCCTTTATTATGTTCTATTTGTGGACTTGAATATTTTCAACATGTTCTAATAGTTTTTCCACACATTTGTTCCTGTTGATGAAGTCAAAGCTTTAAGGTATTTTCATGAAAATCAATCTGCCCCCTGATACTGCATTCCTTTCATGTCCAAATCTCCCACAGAAGAGAGAGGGAGTTCTAACTGGTGCAGAGAGTGCAGTATTTAAACTGTCATATTATGTTCTTATTCTACTATCCACAAGAATTGGCTAGTATATTGTTCACTAATTTTTAACTTTTTTATGTAACAGGTCAGTTCCCCAATCTTTGTGCCAATGAAAACTCATGAATTGCTTCATCGAATGAGTGGGAAAGGATTAGCAGCTCATTATCACTTCTCAAGGCAGCCGTGCATTTATGGAAATCAAATGGTATCCGTACAAGTGACATTAACGAACACCACAGACCAGAAGTTAGAGAATATTCACGTAGGGGAGAGAAAGCTACCTGCAGGCATGAAGATGCATGTGTTTAACCCAATAGGTAATCAAATCATCTTTTTAAAACTAACTATGCAAAATCCTATTGTTTTGTTTAGTTAAAAACATGAAATGGAAAATACCAAATGTATTGATTTTTTTTAAGTTAATTTTTTATTTTAGAGATTGACCGAATAAAAAAATAAGCATTATGTGGCAAGGATGTGTGTGGTTTAATAAGGTGTCTGTTAAAAGGGAGCATTTCCAGTACAGTTAGAATGAATCAAACCATATAGTCATACTGCCTCTGGTTGTAATTTCTTCAGATCCTTTCATGTGAACATAAGAATGGCCATTCTGGATCAAACAAAGGTCCATCTAGCCCAGTATCCTGTCTTCCCTTTTTCCAACTGACCTTTTAGCTGTTCGGTCACTAAACTGACTAAGCAGCTATCTTAGGACAATGCCAACTGGAGGTTTGTGCCAGCGAGTTATGTTCACATCCAAGGAATAAACATGGCACTTAAGTAAAAAGTGGCTATTTCAGAGCAAACTTTCCATGCTACTGTCAACAAAACATATGGTCAAATATTTTGCATGGATAACATTTGATTCAGTTTGTATTTTAATAATGATACGTCTCTATTGTTTTTATAACTAAACATCTACTTCAAGACAATGACAAAATCTAAACTTGGTACTAAGTTGAACTGAATGGTGTCTACCCATCTGTATATATAAATAAGCTCTTAGCCTGAACTATCCTGTCTAAATGGAGAGGTAGTAGCCTTTCTAGAGAGAAGTTTGTAACTCATATTTTATCATAAACCCAATTTTTTCCTTCTTTCCTAAAATCCACAATGGAATATCATCCTCAAAATTTAGACAAAAAAACTAGTAGAATTTTTACCAGATTTGAAGTTAATCAAGAGGTTCCATAATTGTAACACATTTAACATTGGACATGTTCACTGGAGCTTTTGCCACTTTTTTCCCCGGACAAAAAAAAATCTGAAACAGATAAGTTTATTTGTGGTATCCACATCATGCACACTCCTTCATAACCTCAAGCAGAAAATAATTCTATTAACAGAATAAAATTTATGTAATTTTTATTTCCTTCTACGTTGTTGCTTGTCTGATTTGCTTGTACTCAAGTTTTCTACATTCTTCCTCAATTTCTTCTGGATCTGAAGTTTTTATACCCACCTGTGTCTTATCCTTTTCAGTACATTTTGTATTTTTTGTTTCTCTCATGGGTGTTGTCTACTTTAAGAAAATTAAGTCCCATAATTCCACCAGGAGAGCACAGTGGAAGTGTCTGTGTAGTCAGGCATTCTTATCAGTTTTCCAAACTTACTCTAGCTTCTGCAGTTGCAGCTCTGCCAGTAATAGTAACAGTGGCAAATGGGGAATGGAGTATTTCTTTCTTGATGCCACACAGATCCTTATACAGACTTGACTTTCTTGAAGCACTTTGTTTTCCCTCCATTATTCTGCATTACTTGAAACCCTCCTCCTCCGGGTTTTCTGCATTCTTCCACAATTTGCTTTACTGCCGTTAGACTTCTTTATATTTCTCCCCATCATTAAACAGCTGACTCCTTCTGATTTCCTAAATATGTAGAACACAGTAGCACAAAAATTTTCTCTGTCCAGACATTTTTAATTTAAAATTCCTTTCTGTAATGGCATCTGTTCAATTACCTTCCTGTGTGTTGCCTCTCTTGTCTGTTCTCTAGTTGAAGTTCTCCTCAACAACCACTTTTTGTATATGTTCCTTTGGTATCAAAGAAGGACCCAGCACCTCACCTAATCCTTCAGTCTGCAAGTCCTATCCTAAGTCCTTCAGTCTGCAATAGTGTAGGGTTAGAATGGTGATCTGGTTCTGAAGAGGTTCAAGAAACAAACAGTGAACTTACTCTTGATGTCTTCATTTAGGAAGTGCTGCATTCTGCACTGCTTGTAAAATGGAGGCGTATCCTCCATTTTAGGTCCATAATCTTCCCAGCTTCCTATGTAACTAGTGCAAACAAAATTTGGAGAGAAGTAGGCCACATTTGACTAGAATTTTTTAAACTTGATTTTCCCCATCACTGTATAGTAATGTGCATTTTACTGTTGCTCTTGTGCTGTCTTGCTCTTCAGTTTTCAGATTGAATGAATAAGTGGTGTCATGCTGAATTTTTTTTATGGAGATATACCTATCTCATAGAGCTGGAAGGGACCCTGAAAGGTCATCGAGTCCAGCCCCCTACCTTCACTAGCAGGACCAAGTACTTATTTTGCCCCAGATCCCTAAGAGGCCCCCTCAAGGATTGAACTCACAACCCTGGGTTTAGCAGGCCAATGCTCAAACCACTGAGCTATCCCTCAGAACCTCTCAAAGTTTAAAGAAGCTGTAAACATTTGTTGTTTTACATGTTATCAAATTTTTGCATTTAGATTGGCTGGTCTGATTTTTTTTTTGCATGCTTAATTTACATATTCTATTCTAGAATTTCTTGAGCCTGAGGAGTCCATTACTGTCTCAATGGGTATTGACTTTTGTGATTCTACTCAGACTGCCAGTTTCCAGTTGTGGTAAGTTTTTGTTTTTGTTTTGTTTTACATTTGATAGTTCTGAATGGAAACTGAGGGAAGAAATCTTATATTCTTTGTCTTTTTTACACAACTTCTTCCATAACTAGATTTAAAACCTATTTGAATTTGCTCTGATTATATTTTGAACTAGTTTGAAGCCTAACTAGAATTTTTATGGGCAAAGTGCGTATTGTATTTTCTGTATTTGTTTCAGAATTGGGCAAAATAGCTCATCATAAAATGGACATTCAAGGTGTATATAGAGAATTGAGGCATACTTGTAAACTTGTAAACTTTACTATTCTACTATTTTTCCTATCGCAATATTGGCAAATGATTTTTGAAAGTTTGTGATACTTGATGAGAATTAACTTATGAACATATATTAAAGTCAAACTGCACTTTCAAATCTGGGTTACCTAAACAAATCAGTTTCTTCTGTTAGGTACCTGACTTGTTTGTGGTTCTGCTCTTTTCACGAGTTTACTTTGGTAACTCTGAGGTTGCAGATGGATCCTACCATTTGATGTAACTGAATTTTCAGAAACATTTTAATATGTAATTTACTAACATAAAATCAAGAAACAAAATAAAACCAAAGAAAAGTATCAGAGCCAAAAGTTGAGTGCTCATATACATGCAGCAACAATCATCTTTGAGGGACTCCTGCTCTATTTGCAGAACATTGGCTGCTGAGCATTAGGCTGACTGTTCTGCAAATAGAGCAGGAGTCCCTCAAAGATGATTGTGTATGTGTGTGTATGTATTTATATGATAGTTTCTTGAGCTTTCCTAGCCTTTCCTTTACCTGGATACTGCCTTTTTACTTAATCAGCTGAAAGCATTTGCCTACCTATAGCATTAGCATCTCTCTTTGGATAGGACCACCCCCTTCTTGTTCCCATAGGGAGCAGTTGACCCCAGGGTCTAGTATAGTTTCTTCCTCTGTTACAAGAGTTTGCAAATCAAAACACACCAAACCGAAGGGATTTAATACCATTTAAAAGGCCATCCTGATTGTCCAGGGCCTATGTAATAGGCTTGTAGTGTTTGTCACCCAAGTAAACCACCTGCAGATTTGCAAGTAAGAGAAGCCTCTTCCTAATAATAAAAAAAGAGATTGGGAGAAGCTGGGGGAGAAATTAGTAGGTGGCTGGCCCACTAGTGTCTGCCAAATATGCCTTGCATATATGTTTTGATATATACTTTGCTTATTATTATCATGCCTAACAGCCTGCATTGTATCTAAGTTACTTACATATTTTGATTTAAGCAGAAAAAGTGTCTGCTCACCCATTGGGAGCTCCATTGTCAGGCAACGTGAATTCATGCAAAAATAGTAGCAGAATCCAAACTCTTTTGCCCATGTCACTAAATGAACCTGCTTGCTAGTCTTTACCTTCCCCTTAACATATCCTGAAACAAATATTGCAAGAAGCTTTTCTCACCACTTGCCACACCACATGGTTCATGGAATTGTCAACCCTATCACAACGCCCAAAACTGGTTAGGTGAAAACTGTCTTTCCTTGTAGAAAGTTCTGTACTCTTGTTTGTTTAATAATTTAAAAGAATATAGGATACAGTGATCAACGGTAGTTTGGAAACTTATAGATTCTTAAAGACTGGGGATATAAGATTTGTAGTAGAAAAGCTACTGTGCTTTCATATATATTAAACATGCCACTCAAGAAGAGCCAATACAGAAGTTAAATTTTCTCTTTTTTCTGGGGGGTTTACTATTGAAAATGTTTTTCTCAACAACCCTTTCTTTGTGATATTCATTTGTACGCTAAGTCCCTAGGTGAGGTTGTTTTAAAGATATTCTTATCTCCAGCATGATGCCTATGGCATGTAGCATATGCACAAGTTATGCTATTGTGTCTTTCTGGATGATGACAGCAGCAATGGTAATCAGGAACTGATCTGAAGTCTTTAAAAACTAACCTTATTTTACTGTATAGCACATTAGACCAGCACAGGCTTTGTTTTGACATAATGAGGGAAGAAGAGTTCTAGGCAATGCAACTTCAAAATTGTTACAAAAATGTGAGGTATCTGTTTCTCTAAACACAAATGTACTTAGCTTTTTTATTTTAAAATTACATATGTCAGAGTATTCAAACAAGCATATACATTCTTTTTTAAAACAGAGCAAATATTTTTATTTTAAGTACATCTTTTAAGCATGTAAATGATTCAGTTCCAAACGTACACCATTTATTGCTAAGAATCTCTGCAGTGATGAGTATAAGCAATGTAGCATAACACATTGATTTTATGCAGATCATCACCTTTATGTTTTGGGAGGTCTGCTATATTAGTGATATATAAAAACTGATTACTTTCTCCAACATTGCCTAGTAATTGTTTATTATTTTCCTATTAGACAAACAAGACAGATCAATATTCCTGAACACCAACCAGACTATGAGTAACGTCACTGTAAATAGATTTGCCTCAGACACCAGTGCTGTATTCATTTTAATGATTTGGACAATGTGAGCCCAATGACAATGCTCAAGCTAAACACTAAGTTTAAAGTTAAATTAAGAATAGGAATTGCTTACTTTGTTTGCTTCACTGATTAATAAACCCTTTGATATTTGAGAATACTGTTGAAGGGGAAAAAAATAAAGATAGATGTACTTTGAGTAAAATTTGCTGTTTTATTGTTCCAAAAATTCTTGTAGTATGTATGTGTATATTAGGCGATTCTGTGTTTTGTGATGGTCTTTAAGCCATGTGAATCTGTTTAAAATACAATCAATAGCAGTTCTTTTAACTCTCAATACTTTCTAAAAAGTTTTTTGTTCAAAAGCTTGTGTGTGGATGTGTGAATTATTTCAAGAATATTTTGACAAAAGGTGTCCTAACACCTTTATTTTGCTGTATGTATATGTGTGTGTGTGTGTATATATATATATATATATATATATATATATATATATATATATATATATATATATATATAGTATATATAGTATGT